CTGCCAATCTCCATCCATATTACATTTTACTCTTTCCTTCTATTTTATAATTAAATTTATAGCTTTTTCATTATAATATGTATCCGTCTCTTTAAATAATTCTACCTGCTTGTAAATATTTGAATATGGTTAATAAATATTGATTGATTGAGCAATAGCTCCATCAAAAACCATAAGTAAACAACACTATACTGAAAGAACAGACTTCTTACTGTGATCCCATTAGGATTTGCAAAACTTATTCACATCCCTCTGCTATAGTATCAACAGATTATTTTTTCCCATCCATTATAGATAAAAAGCACAACCACCTCTCTTGAAAAGACTTTAATGGAAGATCACATTGGCCCCTCTGGTTTGAAGGAAATCGATGCAATCAATCCAACAACTCTGCCAAAAAGGATAAGTAAAGAATAACAATACATTGTGACAAAAACTCTTATCGCTATCCCCACTAGGATTTGCCAAACTAATTGCACTTCAAATGTACCACATTTACAGATTCACACACCAGGCACACCAAGCCCATCAAAGAGGATTAAGTATGACACACCCTTCTCTTCTCCCTGTAGCTCACTATCTTCTTCCAGAACAACTAAGTATTTTGCTATTTCTTCTCTATTTATTTATTTTGTATGCATGCCTTGTCATATGCATTGTGTACATATTTGTGTTTATTTGTCTAAATGTATTTAATGTAGATTGGTAGATTTGACAGTGATAGTTATGCTGACCTTGTATGTTTACATATCTGTGCCGTATGTTTAATTAATGACTAATCTCTAATGTTTTTCACTTTAGCAACTTACCTTGGGTAGGTTCAAGATGTGACAGCAGTGCAGCAGAGCCATCGAACTTTAAATTTGTGCTATGATGTCACTTTTCAAGTATCAATTGTCATACATGTTATGCATAAAAAAGGGGATGGAAGCAAAAGGCAGCTGTTTCGTGACAAAATGACTGCACAACAACCTATCAAATTGTCAAACATGCCAGTTTCTACCTCTGGCACTATATTTTTGAACAAAGGAACTATTATAGAGGATGTGTCTCCTCATTCAGTTCCTTTTACATACCAACCAATGAGTTCAAAGGAAATTACGAACATTATCGACTTGAAAAACCACTTGTCGGAAATGTTCACAGTATCCGATCTAATTCAGTGGTCTGGGCCTCCACATAAACCAATGCAAGAGTCCACAAAGTTAGTAAGAGATGGAACTATAACCGACAGCTCAGGTACGCTAAAACAGGGGCGGATCTAGGATTTTTCGTACGTTAGTCAAAAATTATGTTGCTGAACATTAGGGGAGGGGGGTACTTTTGACTGGCGGAGGAGGTACTTTTGACAGGGGGTCGGAGGGGGGGGGGTTGCCAAGCAAATTAATATTTTTCATATGGGTTCTGTTTTCGAAAAAATGCAACTTAAAAAATTGCTTTTTCGCCAAACAGATATCCAATTCTCATCGAGAAATAGATTGACAATGATGACTTGACGTTTTAAAAATTGTTATTTAATCGCATATTTTTTCCTTTGACATGGATGGTCAAAAAAATGCAATATGGTGATGCAGTTTAAAACATTTGATTGATTGTTAAGCAGGAAGAGAATTTCCACGTTTAATTCACTGCTCCTCGAGTTTCATTCGTAGCAGAAACATGTGCCATAAATAAGTATTCACAATGGCAACATGATCCATTTTACTTGTTATGTGTACATGTTGTAGAGATCGTATTACACAAGGCCATGCTACATTGTCGTGTTCTTGTAGTTTAAAATATTAAAAGGTATAAACAGTGTTATTAAGTAACGATCTGATTAATATATGAAGTCTACATGTCACAAGAAGCATAAACAAAGTATAAACACACTGAAACTGCCTGTATTAAGCCGCAGTATTTATATAAATTGACGGAAATATTATGAAAATTTTGTCTCGTATTATGATACGTCTTATACGCGTACCCGCCGATATCATAGCATGCATGTGCATACAGACGCACAATCCACCACAGTATACAACAGTTACAATGCTATATCTAGTTAAAATAGAATATATATATCTTAAGTTAAGGCCGTACAGAAGATTTTTGTCTTCTCTCGAACGTACTTCAGGATGTAAGATTCCGCACCAAAATTTCGTGCGAGGAAGGCTGCTTAAGTAATGTTATTCACAACGCTCAATAAATCTTTAATAGAAAACTTCGGTACACCATTATCGCTTGTTTAAATCAGCTTCAATATTTTTGACATTTTGTCGATCGTATTCCGTCTAAAGCAGCCTTTACAGTTTCGTAAATACTAACAGACATGGCTGGTATTAGTTCAGAATTTCTGATAATAAATCTTCCCATTGAACTTTTTAAAATAATTATTAAAATAATTTGCGGTCAAGGCAAAGTAGCGATCAGAAAGGGCCAGAAACGTCATAGACCTTTCCGTGCACTAATGAAGCCTGAACGGTATGATCGATCAAAAAAATCCAGCCAATGGGAATTCAGGATTGTTTTGAATTAGCCAATCGGATAGTCTGTATTCGAGCCCCTGATCGCTTTAGCGATCAGAACTCCCCACAGATCGCGCAAAAATCGAGATAGCCAATCAGATGGCTGGAATCTGACTCAGAGCGTGCAAAACTCATGCGTAAGACCGCTTTTCTGCGCGTTCATGTTTGAAGGCCTTGATACTGAATGATATTTCAAAACTGGACTGTTAAACTTTCAATACATTACACTGCGCAAAGTTTGATAACTGGACTGCTATTTTAATTTAACAATTTTCCATTTTTTTTGCCAATTTTTACCTTAGTCGCGTGATCGCTCTGATCACCCCTCGATCCGCCCCTGGTTTGGGAATAGCATATTAACTCTTTTTCACACACACACCTAGTTGCATCGTCCCTGTGAGAACGATGGCAAGCAATTTCATATCTTCGGTTCAGTGTATGCTATGAAGACAGAAATACCACCATTCGATTCAGAATTAAAAGATTCAACTAATTCCTCTGTATAGTTATAGTCATTATCAACATTGTAGTGATTTATGGGCCTTGGAAAGTCAAACACGATCATATTGTATCAAATGACGCAATTGTCTGAACAAAAATATAGACTAGCCATACCTTCTTTTGCCGAAAATAACTTCGGCCCCTTTGAACATGTCGTCTTTGCAATAGTCTTGTTCGAATCCCCATCACAAACACTATTTAGAGTGTCATTTGCAAGCCTGTATCTTCAAATCTGTATCTTTTATCAATATATTTCCATTTCTTGTCAGACTGTGAGCTCGAAGTGAGTTAATCCCAACCGGAAATACGACTGAAAACCGTCAAAACAATGCGACATTTGTATCGTATGACCCTGCAAGGGCCAGAAATGGATTCGCAAGGTCAAATTGCACCTACAGGCGCGAATTTGACGTCATTCCGGCCACAGGAGCTTCTTATTGGCCAATTATTGTGCAATGTACGCAAGTGCGAGTAAAACCCGACATCTTGAAAAATTCAAAATAAATATTACTACTCGCCGTATTCAAAAATTTTGTACACAATAGCGCTTGAATACAAAGAGTATTTACACATATAGCCGTTCAGACAATGATGAAAAGTTTAAGAGATATTCAAGATTTTCTGGATATGAAATTTAGAATCTTTGGCCTAGCGGTGAGTAAATATATGATTGTTTCGGGTTGTGTAATGTTTTGACGGCACTTGACCCCCTGTTCGAAAGGTTATTTTGTGAGGATTTCAATGGTGGCTTTTATTTAAAAGGGGGGTAAATACTCGCCGACATATTTATATTAGAAAAATTGGGTCGTAATGTAATGCAAAACCCTATGGTCGAAAAAGAGTTAATCAAGTAAAGGAAGGTGCGTTCTTTACGATAACAGACTGCAAGCCGAGATTTTACTACGGAAAATGTCTTTCCACCACGCCACAGAATAAGGAAACAAACCAGAAGGGACACTCTCCTTTGATGTTAGGCAGTCGCGCCGACATATACCTGCTTACACCCACGAGCGAGCAGCAGCCATGTTCTTGGGTAGTAAAGTGAGAGAATTTTACTATAAACAATATGGCGAAAACCACACTATGATTAGTAAAACTGCTCCTTTTGGAATATAAGAGGGCTATTTTCATCTGTTTTATGAATATTTTGAAGAAAAGGTAAGCGACGTTTTATTTGTCAAGTCTGGTAGCATAATATTTTTTTCTGGTACAATTTAGTTGCGAGTTTTGCTCAGGAGTATGAAGGCTCTGATGATAGCTCATACAAATGTTTTGGTAGATTCTCGCACGTTTATTAAATATTTCTTTATTGTTTTAATGTGTGCAAATTATTCCCTGGACAGGTTATTGAATGGCCATTGATTTTACTATGGATATGGTATTCAAAGCAGGCCAAATTATCAATGGCTATTGGCGAAAATTAATAATCTCAAATATTTTTGTAATTCATACTCCAATAATTGGGAAGGCAAGCATTTCAAAACAGCTACTCCATGAAATTGATAAAGTAAATAAACTGATAAAGAACTTCTTAACATGTTTAGCTATTTAGATGTATTACTATCAAGTAGTCACTAGTCATCAAGTCATGGATATTCATCACATTAATTTTAATAATTTGTTTTAAACTTCATGCAGGGATGGTTGCAGACTTGCAGATGTTGAAAGGTCTTCAGAGTTCAAACAGTGATACCACATCGAACTCAATATTGAGTCAATTGGATACTTAATTATTTTTGGAATCACTATATTGACACTATGCTTACAGAATGTGCTTTGATTGTCAGTGGTACATTCAATTCAATTCAAAAACATTTATTTAAACACGATATAAAAATAGCAGCAAATTGCTGATGTGGTCGTGTGTTTACCAGTATAGTAAAATCTATTTACATATAGATCGGAATGTTAATATGTATAGTTTATATATAAATTAAATATCGTAAGAATAATAATAGTAAGAATATATAGTAAGACTATGACTAGAAAAGTTTAAAAATAGATATAGTTCAGATCATTATTGTTTGTATAGGAGGTAAAATCCATTGCCTCAAGATCTTGTTGCCATATCAACATTTTAAAATTATTATGTCGTTCCTCATTTTTGAGATTGGTCGGTAGTTTGTTCCACAATACTGCTCCCCTAAATGTTACTGACTTATGCAGGAAGTTGGTTTCTGGTCTTGGAATAACCAACTTTTCTAATCCTCTTAAATTGTTATCTTTCTTTGTAATTATATTCTGACAGAGTTGGTCTGGTGCCTCACTGTAACAACATTTGTAGACAGTGCTTAATACTCTTTGCTTATACGTACTGCTCAGTGTTTTCCAGCCAGTTTTATGTATCACTTCTTGGCTTGGTATGTCCCAATTCAACCTGTAGATTATACGTGCGGCTCTTGTGTGCAACCTTTCCAAGGCTTTGAAATGTGTTTTACCACAGTTTCCCCAAACAAGAATGCAGTATGTTATGGATGGAAAGATTACTTTCCAGTAAAAATCTTCCAGCATATGTTTTGGAAGGAAACCCATTGATTTTAATTTCCTGACGAATGCAAGTTTGACATTTTCTGTGTGTCCATTCCATTTCAGCTTATTGTCCAAAGTCACTCCTAGACATTTTGACTTCTTTACGCGCGGCCACTTCACTAAACTACCATTTAACTGTACTGGTGGTAGAGGACCTACGAAAGTTCCGCGTTTAATGAGCATGGCTTCTGTTTTGGCTGGATGGACCGTCATTCCGTTTTTGTAACACCATTCACTCACAAGGCCTAATGTCTCATTTAGTTTGAGGATCACTTGGTCAACTGTTTCGCCTATACTAGTCAAGGTCGTATCATCAGCGTACATTTCTAATTCTTCATCATCGTGCCGTGCACAGTCCGGAAGATCATCGCAAAAGAGTGCGAATAATAGGGGCCCCAGGACTGATCCTTGTGGCACCCCGTAGTCAACACCCTCTCTTTCAGAATCGCACAGTCCTATTTTAGTGAATTGGCGTCGGTTACAGAGGTAGTTTCGGATCCACAACAACAAATTTCCAGAGATGCCTGCCCGCTGTAACTTTAGCAGTAGTTGGTGATGAGGGACAGAGTCAAAAGCCTTCTTAAAGTCGATGAAGACAACTCCCACCACTCTATTGCTGTCGACTGCTTTCCTCCATATCTCTGTCCTATGTAACAACAGTGCTTCCGTTGAACTATTTTTCCTGTATGCCCACTGATTTGGATTTAGTAAACCAGGATTGATATCAATATGGTTAACTAAGATTTTGTGTACTTCCTTCTCGATTAATTTGCTTGGAGTGCACAGCATGGATAATGGTCTATAATTATCTCTGTCTCTCTCATCATCTTTTTTATGTGCTGCTGCTGCTATTCTTGCCACCTTCCACAAACTGGGTAGAGTAGCAGTCCTTGCACTTGTTTGGAAAATATCTGTCAATGATGGTGCGATTTCTTCGGCAGCTGCTCTCAGCAAAATCGGTGGCAAGTCATCTGGGCCAGTCGCTTTATGTGTATTGAGCCTTAACAAGTTCTCTTTTACATTCTCTTCCTGTATATCAATTTCCATAACGGTTGGGGATATTCGATCAATGAGCTCTACTGTTGGCACGTAGTGGCTGTTTAAGAGACCTGCTAACTTTTCTCCTGTAGTTGCGAAATGCTTATTCAATATATTTGCTATCTCTCTATCATTTGTGACCAATGCGCCAGTATCTGACTTAATCGCACGAATGGTCTTCATGTTTGATTCCTTCCCACTGGCTTGATTTAGAATTTTCCAATACTTCCGTGTGTTTATTTTTTGACAATTTGCAAGCTCCGCAAAGTAGGTTGATTTAGCTCTCCTTAATTCTGCTGTCACCTCATTCCTCAACTTCCGGTATTCTTTCCACAGTCCTTCGTTGTTTCTTTCTTTCTTTGCTTTCTGCAAAGCCTTGTATCTCCTGTTCATTTTGTGTCTCAATGCACCGCTCATCCATGGCAATGTTTGTCGTCGAAGCTTAACTTTTCTTTTTGGCGCATGTTCTTCACATATGTCTTTGAATATATCTGTCCATACTGAACACTTGTCTTCGACATCTTCGAACATTTCACAAGTAGACCATGGAGCATTTTGTAGATCAAACTTGAATTTTTCTATCTCCATTTTCTCGCAGTTTCTTATAGTTACTATCCTGGGAGGCACCTTTCTTGGCTTAAAATCCATAGAGAAGGATACTAGATTGTGATCGGATATTCCAGTGTCTGCTGTTTTAATATTTTCCACCAAATCGGCTTTGTTTGTGATTATCAAGTCGATCATTGTTTCTGTGTTTCTGTGGTACAATTATTGTTTGTTAATATTCCAAGCAGAATCGTTGAAATTCAACAATACTTTGTAGCTATTTACCCTTATTTTCTCAACCTCTTTAGTGTGTGTTTGTTTTAAGTACGAGTTCATGTATTTAGCTGTCATTTTAAAGAGTTTTTTTCGTATAAATGTTGAGATTTTAGCCGAGTTTGTTTTTCGCCTTTTTAAGTCGAGTTTTGCGAATAAATCTTAATCTAAACTATTGTCTATGTATACTAGATTATGGAATAACAATTCGCGGGAAGTCACTTTGTGTTCGAAATTTGTGACTTTTTTAGCCTTGTTTCCTTCTTTTAAATAAGTTTTAATTGACTAAACTTTGCTTCTATAACGGTCTCTTACTATTATTAATACTGTTTTACGACATGTTTTTTAATTTAACTTTTTTAAAACTCTTGAGAGTTCGCAACACTGAGTAGTTGTCAACAAGGCCATTTAAACGCTCATTTCGTTAAAACGTTATAATTTTACATAAAAATCAAGTGAAAAATTCCGCTTTCTTTATGTGGTTTATCTCCGAGCCGTGCGAGGGTACTAATTCCCCCCGGCTATTTACACCCGGGGAAACGAAAGCATTAGCGAAGTCTAAAGTTCATCAAATATCGCGGGCGTGGGTCACCAACCGTGGGTGGTCATCCTCACTGATTTCAAAAATATGGCGGACTGTCATGAATAGCAAACACTGTGATTGGTCCAATTTAAAGTTTGCAT